GGTTAAAGTTGCTTCGTAAGCCATTGTTGTTTCTTGTGCGTCAGATTTACAGGCGTACCAGAAACAACTGAATTAAAAGGTTCCACTCAGAACCTCCATTTAAAGAACAAAACAATAATTAATTGCATTAAAATTTTTAACACATGAAAATCAACATGATTAATGAATCAAGGCTGAGAGTGTTAAAGGTCTGGTGCTTTTATTTTTATGAAGTTTATGTAAATATCTGGTTTAAAATTCTGTTTTCAACTTGTTGGTCATGTGAAGGAACATTAGGCTTTAACTGACCAACACACACACACACACACACACACACACACACACACACACACAGCCGGTGTAGAGTTGCCCTCAGGTGGACAGGTGATGAGCCGCTGAGTGTCACTTTCCCTCTTTGTGTCGGGTTACAGCAGAAAGAATCTCCACTGACTAGATGCATCCTTTAAACCAACATTAACTTTTATCTCTGCATGTTAAAAACAGAAAATAAAACCTCTGAAATATTTCTACAGTTTTATTTTTACTTTTCTACGGAAATGGACTCGGCTTCAGATCTAAAACTGGGACGAATTCCTGAAAAATGCAGAACCTGAAGGTGAAAACAGACTCTGCCAGCTGGACCAGGTCTCGTCTAGACTTCTCCTCACCGACAAACTGCATCAGTTTACAGCAGACAGACTCTCCTCCAGTCCATCAAACACAGATAAGGAATGAATCCAGTGGATTTATCTGAGATCCACGTAAACAGTAACGAACCAAAGTCCGAATCCATGCAGTCAGAATTGATCATAATCCTTTAAACGATAATAAAAATAAATCTGAATTGTTTTTACAGTGAAAGCTGGTTGTCACGGTTACCATTTGGCAGGGATGTTCTCCTCCTGCCTGGCGAAGGATCCGAAGCGGTGGTCTGTGAGGAAGGCGGCGCCGTGCTTCTGGGAGAAGGCTTCGATGGCCTGGCCCCACCAGCGGGCGTGTCTGTAGCTGGAGCACTTCAGCACCAACGACCTGAACAGAACCGCACAGAACCGGCTCTGTTCAGAAACAAACAGAACCGGGCCAACTCGAAACCGACAGGGCATCGTGATATGAACGGTTCCTTTGTTTTAAATCACAGATTTGATTTGTTTTCTGGTGCGTTTCAATCAAGACAAAAAAAAAGAAAAACATATTTAGCTATTTTTTTCTTAGCTCAATAGTAGCTGTGTTGCTGTCAACAATTTTTTTATTTTATGCATTTTGTAATATCGCATTAGGAAAGAATTTAATTTAAGAATTTAAATTCTTAAATTACCTTCAGTCCGTGTAAAAATGCTCTATATATCAATTATGACAAAAAAATGTTAACGCTCCCTTAAGGTTACTGGCTTTTCCGGGAACAAAAGTAAAGGGGCAGTTTGTGTGTTTTTCAGGCACATGGTCCCATTGTTTAGCATAATCAAGTAACTATGTTACCTTCAGTCGGTGTAAAAATGCTCTAAGTGTCACTTTAAAAAATGTTACTTCCTAATTCAACTCCTTGAAATTGAGCCTCTGTCTCTTTAAGAAACTCTGCCTCTTTCTGAAGCTCCGCCTACAGGAAGTCATCACAACATGGCTCCTCCATTAACCTTTCAGCTGACTAGTCTCAAAGAGCCGGGTGGAGGAGGAGATGCGTCCTGAAGGCGGGGCTAGGTCCACCCAGACGTTTTGCACAGCTGAATGGTTGCCATGGAGATTAAAGCAGAAGTTCAGGCATGTTTATGATGAAGGAATAACATTATAACATGATAAAGCTTGAAAAAGTCAATTTTACATAATACCACCCCTTTAACTAGCTAAACAGGAGACGGAAACAAATTTGTCGAATAAGTCCTGACGTAGTTAACTTCCTGTGCCTTACCAGAGGCACCAACTCAGAGGATTCCCTCCATTTATCTGCGATGTTTGGTCCATGCTAGTTTGTAAACTCTGCCTCTTGTTTGTTACATCAATGTGTGGAGCCAACATCTGAGGAAATTACACTCGTTTTGCTCCAAACCAGGAGAAAAAAGGATTTAAAAGAAAAAGTTGAGGAACCTGGACAGGCTGTTGATGCGGAGGCCATGTTTGGTTTCTGTCTCTTTGGAGTCCAGCTTGACGCTGAACTCTTTGTCGAACAGCATGACGAAGGAGATGGCACCGGAGTCTGGCTTCATGTACATCAGGAAGGAGTCTTTCACCACCAGCCAGCTGCACACAGAAACATCATGCTAACACGCAACGTCAGGAACAAACGCCACGTTCTCCTCTGATCCATGGAAATATTAACAGCTAAAATCAGATGAGGCAAATAAAACTCATTATGATCCATTTTTAGCACAGGAAAATGTGTATTTTGTCCAAACTTCACTATTGTGCGTGAGCGAATGTGTGTGAATGAGGTGGGACTAAGAACGCAGCCCTGAGGCGCTCCACTGTGGATCCACTCTGACTTATTATGGTCTGTTGTGAACCAGCTTGTTTCTGGTGTTAGCTTAGCAGCTGGCTAACAGTCATTTACCACTTCATGAGGGATTATTGTATGAAGCAGAACTGAAAGCTGAAGCTCAAATATGCAAAGTCGACCTTTATGTCACAGCTTTTAATAATCTCCAGGCATCCAGTCATTATAGAGTCTTTAACTCTTCAAAATGTGTCTTTAGTTCATTTTTTCTAGTGGAAAGTTATTTTCCAACACCTTGCAGGATCCTAGCATGTCAGACTTTTTTCTGCTTGTATAAAAACAAGCTGCACCTGTGGTGCCATTATTACACCTGGAGCCGTTTATTACTGTTTGTCATCTGCAGCTCTGGTTACTGAATACAATCAGTTTCTGTGTGAACAGGAAACACAAACAACAAGCTGGAAGGACTGAAGAGGAGATCAGCTGAGACGGATCGACTCAGGCTCGTTAAGTAATCTGCAGTTATTTAAATCGGTTCTGTGTGGTTCTGGTTCTGTGTGGTTCTGGTTCTGTGTGGTTCTGGTCCTGTGTGGTTCTGGTCCTGTGTGGTTCTGGTCCTGTGTGGTTCTGACCGTTTGGACCAGTGGTAGCAGATTTTGCTTCGCCCGCAGCAGTTCAGGCCGGGGAAACGATGACCCCCAGAACGCTTCAGCACCATTCCTTCCCTGAAGAATCAGAAAACAAAACTTCTTAAAAATAATTCAATATGTTTAGATTTAATTATTTTAATTAATTTTCAACGTTCATTGTCTTCACTAGCTAAGTCCAAGTGAATTCATCGGATTAATTTGTTTTTTTTAAAAGTGGGAAATAAGCAGCAAATGAACCAAACTAAACTAAAAATCCAGACACTTCTTCATGAAATCATAAATCTGGGTTTTCACTCTGGCTGCAGATAAAACTTTGGATTTGGAGTTTAAATTCACAAAACCTGAATTTAAACTCTGACCTGCTGATTTCCAGCTGATCAGATCAGCAGGTGAATCACTATTAGCTTTAAAATCTAAATATCTTCACATGAATCTGAACTTCAGGGGAAGTGAAACTTTTAGATTTTACTGAAAAACCAAACAGGAAACATGGAGGAAAAGTTTATTCTCCTATTAAAAAATAAATATGTTGAAACAGTTTTTCTAAAGTGATCAATAATAAAGGAACGACTCACAAATGAGTCATTTTACAAACTTTTCACTTCTATTGTTAAGTTACTGTTTTTTAAATCAATAAAACAAAGTGTTAAGGTAATGTTAGCATTATTTAAATAAGATATTTTAGTTAGAAATGTAAAATTACAACCTAATAACTGTTTTTAAACAGTTTTAAATGTCTTTTAAAACAGTAAACTTACAATCCTTTGGGACCTAAATCATGAATGAAGGAAAGCTGGCTGACGTCAATGAACTCCATCTGAAAAAAGAACAAAAACTAATTAATTTAACCTCCGACTTAAAGAAATGTTTTACTCCAAGCAGCACATAGTGGAAATCTAAAACCTGCAACAAAATATTTCGACCAGGAAACTGAAGAACGTATCGAAAGCTTAATGAGATCTAAGGCAGCAGAATAAAACATTATTTAACTCAGAGTTTCTGCAGATCTGCTCAGAGAGTTAAATCTGACAGCAAGAGACATTTTCACCACAGATGTAACCTGAAGCTGTAAAACCTTTAGTAAACCCTCGGCGTACCGTGGCGTGGCAGCTCCTGTACATCGGCATCTGCAGCAGGTTGTTCAAGTAATCCTCCAGTTGTTTCTGAAACAAAAGCACCAATCAATAAAAGCTCAATATGCCGCCGATCGGATGAAATCAGAGCTGGGAGGAAAACCTTGCGGCTGGAAACTCCTCCGCTTTGGTTCTTCGCTTCTTCTCTGGGCAGAACGGGGATCTCAGCCTTCTCCATCTTCATCGTCGCTCTCCTCCTGATCGAAGTCCTGAGGAAACAAAAGAATCACATCAGCTGGTTGCTGGTTGCCATGTTTCCACCAGCAGGTTGCTGGTCGCCATGTTTCCAGCAGCAGGTTGCTGGTTGCCATGTTTCCAGCAGCAGGTTGCTGGTTGCCATGTTTCCAGCAGCAGGTTGCTGGTTGCCATGTTTCCAGCAGCAGGTTGCTATTTGC